TGACATTTTTGTCAGGCTCAGATCCAGGTGTATGTGGTTGGATGGATGACCTTAGCAGTGGCGTAGAGTGGGCTTCAGCTAAGCGTATGCACAGCATACGCATACGCTACGCGCCACTGGATCTTAGACTTTTATGGATTATTATGATATGTGAATAAAATATATTATATTTTCAAGAATCGAGATTTAAATGTTGGTACAAAATAATACAAATATCAAAAAAAAATTTTTTTTTGTCTTATTGATCCTTAAGCCCGGCATCTATGGCCATTAGCTGTTAGTAGGGTTGTATTGCGGTAGTGGTAGGGTTTTGAAGTGGTGGGTTTTTTACACGTAAGTGTTTTGTGTTTGGCAGAAGTTTTGATTGGGCACCCGTAGGTATCTGCCATGGCCGGGCGGGGGATGGCGTCATTTGTTCTCCGGACACCGTGACTTGCCCGAAGAAAAATGCCGCCCGTGACCAAGGAATCGAACTGGCGCCGGCTGCGTCGCAACCGACGCCTTAGAATGCTCGGCCACTCCGTCCCCCTATCAAAAAATTATATTTCCATTAAATTCACTTTTACATAATTTCATTGTTTTTAATTTAATAGTTTATTTTGTATGATATTTTTTATTTTTTATTTAATAATATAATATTATTTAATATTTATGGATTTTATTTCTTACATAATTCCACTTCAATAATGTAGATTAATTAGAATTAATTTCCGTGAATTATTATTATTATTATTATTTCTATACATGAAATTATACTTTTGATCAATTGAACTCGATAATTACCTACCTACTTGATGGGGTTTAGTGGTACACTAATGTCTAATATGAATAATATATACATAATACATTGACTTATACTCCATGGAGACTTGAATGAAATCGAATACTCGTAATATGCGTTATAGTTGTGTTTACATCAGTCGCATTTTGATTTAAACTTTATCAGGTTCAAAGATTATTATTAGGTATTTGATGTTTTGGTTGAAGTAGGAAGTTACTATCACAAGTTATAAATTTAGTTTATAACGACGATGACGTGTGGGATTTAAAAGCCTTTATATCTTTGAGGTTTGAGCGAAATATCTAGATTTGCATGAATTGGACTTTAGTGTTTATAATATCGTTTAGAGGAAAACTCAAAGCGCATCATAATAATAAATAATACGTTAAATGGGTTAACATATTATTAATAGTATGACGTAATTACGTATGTCTTATTAAAACCATTGATTTAATAATTTTGTTTTTTCTGAATAAATCCTCTGTATGATTATCTAACAACAATACAATAAAACATTCCTAATTTAATTTTTTTTAATAAAAAATAGATACGTTAGGTTTTTAAATTATAGAAAACATTCAAGAAATTTATGAAAATAATGTTTTCAAATTGATTTATAGTTATGACATTATACATCAATATTGCTTAGGTAACCAGCTTATATTAATTCCCTATTCAAAATAATTCACGCTTTTTAATGGTTTTATTTAATTTTGTTGGTAATAGAGGTGTAATAATCCTATCGTATATTCGTATCTGCTATTGTTTTTATTATAGTTTTAAAAGCAGATTAAAAATAAAACACAATAACAAAATATCAGTTACACAAAGGCATAAAAAAAGGCCCTATTATATCCTCATGATGGAAAATGTTTTCTTGATAACTCAATGTAAACAATTTAAAGTTGGTTTTCAAACAACAGCCTTGGGAATAGATATTGAAGAAGTTGTATAGATGAGTTCAAAACCATTATACTGGTTTACCATCAATTTTAACTAATTCTGCCAATAAAGTCTGAGTGCGTCTATGGTACCCAATACCCATATAGGTAGTTACATAATATATTATGATATTATATTATTGCATAACTGGTAAAATTAAAACCGTACTATTTTTTATTAGAAAAACTCCATTATGCATGGAATACATACTAATTATTATACAATATAGGTTCTGCAGTATTATAGGTGTTTTTATAGTAATAATAATATGTGATAATATTATACAATAATACTAAGTACAATACTGATATGATTATTACTGTAAACCCTAAAAACTAAATAGTTAATTCACATTATGTATATTATTTATTTATATATAAATAAACGGGTATATAAAACCACCCTTCGGCGAGGTAATGGAATTATGTGAGTACCTAAAAGATTCTGCTTAACATTAGTAGGTATAATTAATGTAAATTAAGTTATATAAAAAAAATATGATATTATATAGAATGAAATATTAGTATAGGTACCTACAGTATAAACAAAAAGTGGGTAAGTAGATGTCGCTCTGCTATACAGTAAGTTACAAGTGGGTCAATGTAAAATTGATTGTATTAAACTTGAATTCAATGATATAATTTCATTCTATAGTAAAAAAACGATTCTGAGCGGAAACGGCTTGTCAGTCTGGATATTTTATAAGTATTGTTATTATTTATTATATTCTATAAGTTGAATTATTATTATAATATTATAACTTTTTATTCGTTTCTATGATGATAAACAAAGAGTTAGAAATTAAAATCCCATTTTTAGAGGTTTTTCGTAATTTGACTGTGGTTTTCCGTGGTATTAAATAACTATTGAGAAAATCGAAAAATTACCTCTCTAAAGTACCATCTTGATCCAATTTGCTAAAAGATATGGTACTATAATGTTGAAATCGAAGCACTCCTTCTGGTAGAAATTTTGTATACGGGATAAAAAAAAAAATAAATAAACACCATTGTAAAACATCTAGCTTCCTCATCTCTCCGCTCAGAATCTAAAAAAAAAAACACCATTCTAAAACCACTACCTTCCTCGCTCCGCTGAGAATCTAAAAATTGAATATCGTAATTAATATATAATACATCTAATATCACAATTCACATTTTTACAACACACAAGAGTACTATAACACAACATACAAGACTAACTAATAATATACTCTATAGGCAAAGGGTTTCGGTTTCATATTATAATATAGGTTAGCATATTATTATTATATTGTATTGTTTTAAGTGTATTTCGTGGGCTTATTTTGTGTATATAATATTATATAAATATTGTATATTGTACAATATACAAATTATTATCTATTATAAACATAAGACATTGAGCGGGTAAATGTTTTATATATATGTAGGTACGTCATATTCTCTTAAAATATAGGAAAACATGGTATAGGTACATCGTTCATGCATTTATATTTATAATTTATATATAGTTTACCGCACAAGGTAAAAATTGTTCAAGACGAACAGAAAAACGACACTATGCACCTGGTATATATTATGCCTGGCTTACGATAAAATATATCGGCCGTCAGGATGTTTTTTTTAAGTATGTACGACGAACGCATATTTTCTTATACATATATTATATGTTCGTACAATGTATCTATATATTACTATTATTTATCACGCGTATACATAAAGTGTGTACACGAAAAGTATGATATAGTAATAGCATCTAATAACTGTAAAAAATTAATGCACTTGCACAACGCGAAACGTTTACAAACATTACGATATTGAAGAGTCGTATTAGAAATAATTGTACTAATAACGCCCGATCGGATTAAACAGATTGTAAACGTACTTAATAATATGTATTATGTACCTACTTATACAGTTATACACTTGTTTTGAAAAATATTATTTACGTATTTTATTACTATTATGCCTTGCTGCTTACAATTAAATACACCAGCAGTCATATTTTTTAAGTTTATGCACGACAGTATGTGCTTTAGAAACATAGATATTATCATGGTTGAAATGTACAGGTTATTGCATATCCACTCTGATTGTTATCATCAGAAACAAAATGGCTACGTAAAGGGATATCACAAATATACATTTTTCTTATCATCAAAAATCCGCTGACAAAAACCAACAAATTAAAAACCCCGAGCATACATACTTGATTACTATTGGCTCCCTATTTTTGTTTTTATTATCAAAATATACACATCTTTATGTTGTGATTACAAATAAAATTACACACTTGGTTAATATTTATTTATGAATTAAATTTTTTTTTGGGGGGGAGGAGGTGCTAATTATGTAACCGGCTACAGGCCGTCTTTATTATTGTGTAATAATATTATTAGGAAGGCATATTTGATAATAAAAAAATTCCTAGATACACCGCATTGCCACTAGAAACATACGTCTGAATAATATGTATTCTATAAGATATAATACTAGTTTATTATACCACTATACAATCAAAAACATTATGTAGGCACCTTTATTTTTTATCGTATTTAATTTGAATTCGGTATACCTAGATAGTAAAACATAGGTAACGACATTATTGCGATAAATTTCCTATGCAGAGTTGAAATTCTACGTAAAAAAAACAAATTTTTAATAAGTTGCAGGACACAATATAATACATTATAGTGTATACAATAAACAAGCTGCATGTAATTAATATTATTATTATTATTATTCGCAATCAAATGAAGCTGCGTGCGTGCGCCAGCCGAAACGAGTGATATGCACACTCCCACCAACCCATACACACACACACACACACACACACAAACTGTGTTATAGGGTGCGCTTCGAGTGCGTAAGTCGTCATTGGGTTTCCTCGGGGGCGTAGGCGTCTAGGGGTAGGTATATAAGCCGGGGACTTTGCGGGTGTTGGCCATCACTTTTGACTCTCGACTTTCCGCGGTCACACCACGTCACTTATACGCACGCTGCAACCACTCGTGCACCACAGACCGCACAACTAAAATATTATATAGTATAATATTATTATTATATAATATTGTACCGGAACGTCCGAAGACCGCAAGAGTCATCCAACGAAGCTGAACAAACGGAATATCGATTTCGAATCCGCCAAATTTTTCGCTTCAAAGTCCAAACCGTCGAAGTCCACGACCGCACATAATATTATTTATCTGCACGACCGTTTGCAAATCGCTCGACGGTCACTGCAAATAATAATTTTTATATTCTTAAACTCCGTCTCCACGACTTCCATCGCCACCATGCGCACCCTGTTGTTGTTGGCCGTGTTCATGTTGTGCGCGTGCATCGCCGTCGGTCAGGTGAACTTCACACCGACGTGGGGCCAGGGCAAGAGGAACGCGCCCGCATCGGACGAGTGCAAGTCCATGGACACGCTCATCTACATCTACAAGCTGGTGCAGGTAAACCAAGTTTTTCGTGTTTTTTCATTATTAATTTCGGAATTTTCTCGGCAATTAGTTTATAAAATTATATATCTCTATATATGTATATATATTGTATGATGGTCACTCGGTTGTAATAATATGGGTATGTCGGCCGCGCTATACCTACACACAACGATTTAATATAGAAAAAATGTCATAGATACACAAAGGTTATTAGGTTATTTAGTAAATATTATAACTAATACGAATATCATCATACAATATTATAATTTATAATACCTAATACATTTATAACGACTTTATTATTTTCCTCGTTAATAGTAATATAATAATATTATTCCAAGTAGGCTGTATAATAGTGTACTATATATTATATTATCAAAGGTGGGTATTAACTTGTTAAAAAGTTAAAGTTAAGTTAAAAAGTTAATTTTTTTTTAACTTTTTAACTTAACTAGTTAATTATTTTTGTTTTTAACTTATTAACTTATTCAGTTAAAATGTTTATTGTTGTAACTTAACTTTTTACAGTTAATTATCATTGTCATGCAGTTAAGTTAATTTCATTTTTGAGTTATGCGTAATCAACTAGGCAATACCGATTGGTCGACTTTTTTACGATTTTAGTAATTTATTTTCGAATTATGTATTATAATAATTTAATTTTTTACACAGTGTTAAATATCTTGGTAAATGTTTTTGTATCACAAAATACTATGGTAGTATATGACTTAAAAATATTGTACCTTCAAAAAAATTAACTTTTTTTTAACTGAGATAAGTTAATTTTATTTTCTCTCTTAACTTTTAACTTATCTAGTTAAATTTTTTTTCCTTGTTAACTTTTAACTTAACTGAAGGCAATTTAAATGAATTAACTTAACTTTCCAAAGTTAATTATTTCCATTAACTTGCCCACCATTGTATATTATATTATAATACCGTCCCGTCTGCAGTTTAAACACTATATAAATACCGAAAACGAGCGCACGTATAATAATAAATCAGACTCGAATTGCAATATCATTATAATATTGTGTATAGTAGAGAGGATCGCACTTTTTTTCCCGAAACAAGAACAATATTTTATTTTTCATTAATAGTTACAACGTACATGTCATTTTATCCCGTCATTGGTTTTGTTACTCAAACCTTTAAAATATAAATGCACCCTTTTCGCTCATTTCCAGTTTGCGGTCCACTATTTTTTATCGTACATGATATAATATATTATATTGTATTGTATATTTATGCTTATATTTTTTCTTGTACGGTCTCACAAACTATAATAAACACCAAAACGTATATAGTTCAAAAATAAAATGTTCATGATATTTTTCGTCACCTGAATCAGTCGTACAACGTATTTGTTTCAATTTATTAATATTACTAACGACAATATAATTAATACAATGCTATTCGACTACACAATATTAAAATGTTATAATATTACGTTTATACCTTATAATATTCTAGTTCGATATTTCTTAATGCGTTGCTCTCGTGTGGTTTCGCCTCTATTTGAGAGGGTGGTAGCCAATTACAACCATTAATTCAACGCAATATTATGGTGTACTAAATACGTCACTATGATATTATAGTCATCTAAAAAGAAATGTCCGTCACACGTTACACATGTCCAAATGCCCATAAACGATTTATTATAAAATAAAAATGCTGTCCTCTAAAATTACCGTAAAAAAACCCCACTCAACACTCATCTCCAGACCACTGATTGGGCAGGCGCACGTTTACGTTTATATACCTATACCGCTCTAGTTTGTCGCCGCACAAATTAAATATTAATTAAATATTATGTGTATTAACTGTGCACGAACCGTTTTAAATAACGTTTTTCAGAAAAAAAACAATAATTTAATTTAATTAATAATATAATGCCTGGATATAATCTGACGCATGACTGACAAATTTCGAAAGATATTATATTCGTCGGCGGAATTTTTTTATGTTAATTATTTCATATCGTTGGCCCACGAAAGCAAACAATTGACGCAAAGGCTGCATGGCTCTCAAACATTGACATCATTTTTAATCCGTAACTCTAGACTTTTTCGGTAAACTCTAATATTTTTCTAATTGAATTGTTAATTATGATAATTTTTATGTATTATAATATGATGGTTAAAAAAAAAAACGCTTACGGAATTAAGTGAAACAAAATACCAACTATGATAATATAATATTATGGATTACGAGTATTACTTTAAAAATAAAAAATGTTTCATCTGTATTAATATACAATCGACAAAATAATCACAGTTAATAAAATCCTTAGATAAATCGCTTTAGTCTTCAAAACTTAGTTTTAGTACATTACATGCAAAAATCTAACATTACATTGTAAATATTTATACCTTTGCCTTCAATCGGTTGGAACTACACAAAAGTCCAGTGCCATTCTATTTTCAACAGAATAGGGCACCGTGATAAGCGAAGGTGGACAAATGCCCAACACCCGTATTATCGGGTGTAATCAACAGGTTCTTCGTCTACACATTCTAAACATAGTCTCGTGTTCAGGCGTTTAGTATGGAATCGAGTATTTTTCAAATATTAATAAATTTTAATAGTACATGACTTTTACCCGTTATATCTTTAGTACAACTTTACTAAGAACTTAGACCTGTGTAGTATTCTTTTTAATGTTGAAAGTTGAAATACACCATTTCAAACCCGGTGCTTTTTAGTTCAAAACATGTCTTACAGGAACAATTCTCACACCTGTTGAATAGTCAGATTTCGTTAATTTTTTTTTATTCAACAGAGAAGAACATTTTGCAGCCAAATTATCAAAATTATAATTATAGAAGCGAAAATATGCATTTGAATAATGCACAATATTTGTTATTTTCCAAACGTATTTTCTAGCACTATTTAAAGTAAAACGAAAATTCTGGATTTGATTTTACCAGAAGAAAGTTCTCATCTTTCAGATAAAAAAAAAGTTATCAACATTCAGCATATCAATGAGGCGTGCGAGTTTTTCCCCCGTGAAGTAATTTTGTTGATATAATACACCTTTATCAACCCCCTCCTCCCTAAATAGATATCGGACAGTAGATTAGGGGAAAACTTTTGTAACTAAGGTAGCAATTAAAATATAAAATAGAATTTTCAAATTTTATAGAATCGAGGAAAATTGGAAACCCCACACCGACACCCTTAAACGAAACCGTTTGATGGTTATCATTTTACGACAGTGTTATATTATATTATATTTCCATTTTATAATATATTTCTGTTTTATACTATACTTACGTCATATTCTTTTGTCGATAAACATACATATTATATACAAACGTTTTATTCTATGCTAAAATGTAATTTGTTAATTTCCACAGAATGAAGCGCAACGGATTGCAATGTGCGAACGTATGTCCGTCACGTCTTGAACAGCCACTGTTGCAGGAGATGACCGACACCATTACACCATACGCCAGCCATAGATCATTAACAACAGGACTGTACCTTAAACCATGACACTCTGTCAGCTGCAGTGTTACATTTTTACTTTTAGTCACATTATTAAGATGGTAATAATTATAATAAAATAATAACAATAACTACAATAATATAAAATTCAACCGTTTGCAATTTATTATTATATCCACCGAACCACAATATATTATTTGCCACAAGCCACTGTGTTGTTTATTTTCGATATGTTATAGACGATATTTTAGTTTTTTTGTTAATAATTTATTTAAAATGCATTGCTTTCACTATATTAAAAAAGAACCACCACATTCACTGCACATCGTTATTCATTTGTATATTTTATGTTTTTATTCACTACCTACTCTGGTAATTTTTAACCTCAGCGATATGTTGAAAAAACATTTGTAATTGCCAATTGGTATATAAAGAAGTATACTGTATAATGACAACAATATTTCAGTTATCATTATAACAACTGTAATAAGTATATGGGTTATTATTAGGATTAGGATTTTGATATCCTGAAAATGCAATAAGTGAGTATCGTTTGCTGTACATTAGGTCTAGAGGAGTCGCTGTAGTGGACGTGTTGAATTTGAATTCAAGGATGTAAAATCATTGTATACGAAAAACGATTCATTAGAATCTAAAATCTCAAAAAGTGCACTGTAAAAATGCATTGAACATTTTTACACTTATAAAAATGTCAAAATATGATAAAAAATTGTTTTGTTAGTATTGTTAGTGGGAAAACCTTGGGGTTTGACGAAGTCAAGTAATGCTTTAAAATTGAAAAAAAAATACAAAAGTTTAAGGTGATAAAAAATGAATAAATCAGTGAAACCTAAAAAACGTTTTCCAGTTAAGTTTTTATGTGCAAAAAAATAACATATAACTCAGAATATGGAAATGCTTTGAACTGCCTGCAGCCAGTCATTATAACTATGACAAACGCTGCGATTTTGATACTCACACTCTAGTAATTCACATATTATTAATATGGTATTTGGTATAAATAAAGTATAGCCATCGAAACGATTCTTGGTAGTTTGTCACAAAGGATTGACCGGATAATACATAAATAATAATATATAACTATACTGTTTAAGGTAATTATTATTCCGTTATAATTTACATCAGTCGTTGTCGTTTCAATGATGTTTAGAATGCAATATCAATATGGACTTTATGATTGGGTTATTAGTTATTACTTATTACGTAAATAACGTCGACGTAAAATTATTGAAACCGTTTTATGGTGCAAATTGGTTTGTGATTTGTCCATGCGGTTGTTTCTAATTTAAATATGACAGTATGATAATAATAATAATTATTAGACGATAAATTGAAATGTTTTCTGATGGTTCCTACAAATAACTAAATCCCTAAATTTAAATAATAATATTAATTATAGAAACAATTATAAATGTATACTCTATAGTCTATAATACGCACTAAAATACCTAAAAGGTAGGTAGTTCTCGTTAGTAAAAAATTTATCGTTTTTAGACCTTTCTGCAATATGAGAAATTTACATTTTTTCTAAGAATTAGATTTAAAAAAGGTGGACAAGTGGGTGTAGCTCTGCTGTACATTAGGTTACAAGTGGGTCACTATATAATGGATGGTATTACATTTGAATTCAATGATATTATATCATTGTATAAGAAAAACGATTCTGAGCGGAGATGATATGTCCTTCTAGGTATAACTGTATAAGACGTATTAAATACTTATCTATGGTATTAAAAAAAATTGAACTATAATGAATTCCAAATTAATCATATCACAATATCCATTATTAACTTATAACGCGTTACACACCAACAACAAACCCTGATACTATCATAGATATACAGGGTGTCCCGTGAGGATTTACTCATTGCGATATCTCCTGAAATAATGGAGATATCGTAATTATGTTTTTTTTATTAAGACTCGCAGAGGTAAGCACTACAAATATTTTATTTTTTAATTAAATTAAATTTTTTAGTAAAAAATTTAAAAAAGTTATTTTTTTATTTTTTTATTTTTGAAAAAATTTAAGATAGCCATTCTATAGAGAATATTTTTGTGAACATTTTGAGCTTTTAACATTTTATTTTCATTAATCTCATGATTTTTAATAATTTTTTTAGTTTATTAGTAAAACGTCAATAAACTGGTTTTTGTCCGGGCGGCTAGTCCCCCTCTACGGCTAATGAGTAAATCCTCACGGGACACCCTGTATAGTAGTATACTTTAGAAGTTTCAAGTACCCACGAATAATATTATACAATCACAACAAAATAACTAAAATAGTTATTCTAAGTTTTTATTATGTAATTTCGTCCAAATTTGAATTTAAATGTCTGTAAAAAATAACTGTGTTCATATATTTTTTAGATTTTTTGGTTACGGTATGAACTATTTATGAGAACCTTTGTTTTAAATTTGCAATCCTTACCTATAAAAACTGAACATTTTATAATTTATTAATTACAATGATTGATAATTTTCAAGATTTTGATAAATTTTGACAAAATTCGATCTTTAATTGCTTATAAAAAAAAATTGTTCCTATGTATTTTTAAAATTTTTCAATTGCTATTGTAACAATATATCAGGAGCCTTTTATTAAATTTTTACACTTTTTGGCCCAACCGATAAAATTTATTGATATTATAGAAAAAAAAAACTAAAATAATTGAAAACTGAAAATGTCCCTGAACAGCTCAAAAAGAGTCAAAATATTTTCAGAATTGTATGATGTATAGGAAATGCTAATATAAATATTCAGTGAAATTTTCATATATCTATAGTTATTCGTTTTTGAATTACAACAAAATAAGGAAATCGAGTGAATATCCAATTTTGTAAGAATTTGAATTTCAAACGCTCATAAAAATTAATTTGACTTTCTTATAGACATTTTTTTTTTGATGAAGGTGGATAATCTTATAAGGGATCTTGTATTACATTTTCAAATCTTAGATTTAAAAAGAAAAATTTTCACAAATTCTTTACTCAAAATAATTTGTTAATTTTCGTGATTTTTCCATATTTTGTCAATTTTTGAACTTTAATGCTTATAAAAAAAAAGTGTGCTGAGGATTTTTAATATTTTCATCTGCCTTTGAAAACAATATACTAGAGCCTTCTATTAAATTTTCAAGCTTTTGCAACCCACAAATAAAATTGTATTGATATTTATAAGAAAAAACTACTAAAAAAAATGGAAAATGAAAATGTCCCTAAACAGTTCAAAATAAATCAAAAATTTGAAAGTGTGTAGAAATTGCTAATATAACCATTCGGTCAGAATTTTCATGCACCCAACCAAAATTGATTTCCTCGAAAACAGATTTTTTTGAAAAATCCAGTTTTTCTTTAATTTTTCTTTTGTTTTTACGGTGGTTTTGAAAAACTACTGAGCCGTCGCGTGTAGTACACTTTCGTCTTGTCACGAGCTCTTTTATTTTACTCCTCTCTGCTGAATTATGTTCGCAGAATACTGAAAGCATTTCTAAATAATTTACCCTGACATCATTCGTGGGAGACTACACAAAGTACACTACACAGGCACTACGCCGCTGGATGTGTACATTCAATATAATATTTTAATACTATAATTATCATAATCTCCGTGTCTGTGTTAGCCCTGCAGTGTTGTTGAATGTTGAATACTATTGTATCGCATTGTACTGATACGTACCGTATTGTAAATACATTGGGGTAGCCCATGATGTGATATTGTGTCTATACCCCGACCCGTGTATAATTATAATTTATATCCTACCTGCGTTTCGTGCAGAGGAAAACTTTTCACCGTGTCTCCAGTGTCGGCAGTGTTGTTGTGTTTGTCAATCTTGCTACTCTAGATGTTAGGTGTCTTACGCCCCGTGGAAATTCGGACAACGCACAAACAACACGAACAACTACGTTTTCCGGACGCAGCTATAGGTACGGGTTCTATAATAACAGAGTATATACAATATGATATGAACACAGACCACCCCGTTTAATATAGGTTGACCGTGACACGACGACATTGAACATTCCGAGAGTCACAGAGTAACTAGGGAGAAACAGAGAGAGAGTAATTGAGGTATAATAATAACAATAGCTACAATGTTAAGACTTACGAATTACAAATATCTGTTAAAATAATTTGTTGGAAACTCATAATATCTGCAATAGTTAATATTATGTACTTGTAATAACAGCAGAATGCCGAAAACGAGAGGGAAAAACACGAATTAACATGCGACTTGGTTATATCACGGTACACTCGATAGGGAAACATGTGGGAATAATAATAATAATGAAAAAAAATTAACATTATTGAAAAGGGAAGGCTTGGCGGACAAAAGTTTGAGTGGTCAGACGCTTTCTATAGCTATCGTAAAGGTATACCCCACCCCTCTCGCAAAATACGTGTCCTGCATGCAGAATCGGCAAACCGTCCACTGCTGCAGGAACAGGAGCGTTCAGCCACATAAATACCTATTACCAGTTACCGATTACCTAAATTCAGTTAGTGATGATAGGACAAACGATAATAATGGTCGTACCTACCAATACGTTGCCGCTCACGGCTCAGGATAGTTTGAACATTATAAATCTAGTTTGATCTAAAACAAATATTGGGCGATCGTTCAAGGGGAATATAGGAATATATAGAAATTTATATTTTATTATAAATAATATAGGTACCTAAATCATTTAAGATTCTGAGCGGAGCGAGAAAGCTAGTGATTTTAGTATTTTACAATGGTGTTCATTTTGAAATTTTTTTTTTATTCTGTATACAACATTTCTACCAGAATGAGTGTTTTGATTTCAAAATATAGTATCTTATCTTTTAGCAAACTGAATCAAGATGGTACTTTAGACATGTAATTTTTCAAACAGGATTTTCATTTCTAACGCATTATGTATGCACTATGTTGTATGTAGTAACCTATTACAGTAC